TTCTCTGCCCCTCTCCCTCGCCTGCTGCCTCTCTGCCCTCCAATATGAAGAATAGCAATCTTTGTTCTTCACACGCCACGTGGCAGCGCGTAATAAGTTGACAGGAGGCTGAGAGGAGAGAATCTCATCCACACTAGGTAACCCGTTGCAGCTTCGCCCGCAAAAAAATGAAAAAGAAAAAAACACAAAAGAAAGAAAAAGTATAAGGAAATGCCCTATCATATGCCGCTTCTTTCACACTAAGAAAAAGAAGAGCCTGAGAGCACCGAACATTCTTTTTCATTATCTTTGCGTGTTTTGTTTTGGGATTACTCTGGATCCCTCCAGAAAGAAGAGCCTGCAGAATCGATTTTGTTTTGTGTTGTGCGAGTACTCTGGATCCCTCCAATCGGTCCCTTGCTGTTTGGATCATTATTCCTCCTATCCTACGTGGCAGGGACAGCAATTATCTCCTGAAAATTGTGGGGGCTGGGAGGTGGTCACTGCCGTCGGCGAAAGGCGGGGGAAGGCGGGGGAAGGCGGGGCTACGTTTGAAGGGTCAGTTCGCTACCCGCCTTAACCGGAGCGAAAGGTCATTATTGTTTTATCTAGACTCAAAGTTGCCCCAAATACATACAGCTGTAATGACCTATACGTTGCATTCGGGTTAAGATAGGTAGCGACAGGTCCGTTGGGGCCAATTCGCTACCCTGCTTTCTTTTCCCCCGAATATAGCGCACGGTCATCCTGGCTGTATTTAGACTGAAAGATACCGCAAATACATAATGACCGCACGTTGTATTCGCGGGAAGAAGGGTAGCAACAGGCCAGTTGGCCTGATTGGCTAGAGAGAGAGAGTATTTATAGTCTTATAAATTCATCGTAACTGACAGACAACACCAAAACAAATATAGTCCTAAAAATTCATCGTGACTGACATACAGCATCTAAACATTTGTTTAAGTTTGTTGTTAATCCTTTACATCTGTCTACTAAAATATTGTGTACGAGCGTTCCCTCTTTGTCTCCGTGCTCTAAAAGGAAAAGCAGACGTTCTCTCTCTCTCTCTCACTGTGGGACATCAACAGACACAAAACATAAAGATTGAGTTAGCTTGTTGCACTTGACTCCTAAGCTACCCGTCTGCGATATTGTTTCTAGTCTAAATTCATCAATATATGAACTTGACTTCTGCATGGGGTTTCTTTTGTCTAGGGTTGGGACTTCTGATTTCCTGTGTTCCAGGTCTGAGAGCATAAAAAATGACGAAGTCGAAGGGAAACTCGTTGAGGATCAAGGACATTTCAGGGACCTCAACAAGTACTGGATGGCGCAGCCAAGGCGCCCATGTTGATTTTGAGGGTGTGTTTGAAATCCCCACTTTGCACTATGGCGCTGATGCCGAGAAAACGCCTACTATCCACGCTCAGTTTGAAGTGACTGAATCGGAAGAAGACACTCTTGGTCCGGAGGAGGAAGAGGAAGTGGAGGAGGATGAGGAGGGTGAGGAGGGTGACGAGGGTGACTTTGGTAGCGAGCGCGAGGAAGCAGTAGACGAGGGTGAACAGGGTGACGAGGATGAGGAAGAAGGAGACGAGGAAGAAGAGGACGAGGAAGAAGACGACGCTGTCTTTGAGCGGACTGTTGAACAAGAGAGGGGGAACCAAAATGCGTACATCGAGAAGTTTTTGAGGAGGGCAAAGCAGTCCGAGGAATTAATCTCTTGCCTGTGGAGCATTGTGCTGTTCCAATCGGCTGTGGAACTGTGGACCAAACATGCAGACCAGGAGAGATACAAATACTGTGGGGAACTAATATACTTCGCCTCTGCACGAGAGAGCCACGAGGATCTGGCACTTGCTTGGGTGAATGTGGGGTCGATTTTGACCAAGTTCGTTCTGCATCGTGCAAGCATGGTTGTTTGGGAGCAGAAGCTAGATTCCCATCTCAAAAAGGCGAATCAGAAGGGCTTCAAGGTACGACTGTTTGTTTGAGGAAGGTCTCTTCTTTCAGTGAACAGCAGTAAAGCGCTGTAATCCTGCTCTTGTAGTCTAGTGCCACAAATCAGTTCTCGGAGTGCGCCGCTACGATTCTCTTGTGATATTTTAGTGCTCTAATCCTTATTGTCCAGGCTATTGCTTACAAATCTGTTCTTGAAGTGCACTGCTAGAAATCATTTCTCGGAGTGCGCTGCTACAATTCTCTGGTGACATTAAATTGCTCTAATCTTGCTTTTGTAGTCAGGTGCTCTTTTTACATTACAGTGTTATAACTCTCATTCACATTATAGTGCTATAAGACTACTTTCGCAGTCTGGTGCTCTCTTTTCCAATTAAAGTGCTAGAAGACTACCTTCGCAGTCCGATGCTCTTAACTGTTTTCGCAGTGCGGTTGTCTCTTTTGAAATTATAGTGCTATAAGACTACTTTCGCAGCTTTCCACATTATAGTGCTATAAGACTACTTTCGCTGTCTCGTTCTGACTGTAGGCTTGTTTCGCTCAACGTGTTCCTTTGCAGGAATTTTGTAAAACTGTCGGAGAGTATACCTTTCCGGCACTTCGTGAGGAGATCCATGTTTCGAGGAGAGCAGAGTCACTCACCGCAGGGTCGTCTGCATCCCAACCTGCGAAAGGTCGAGTGAGGGTCTCCAAAGGGACTGCTCCCTCATGGTCAAGGCAGCGGGAAGGGTCACCTTTTCATTCGCTCCAAGCGTGTGTTGGATCCACTGCCGCAGCAGATGAGGGCTCGGGTGCGAAAACGAAGAAGAAAATGCTCGCGCGGAAAACGGTTGCCAAAGATAAGAAGAAAGCGGAGGAGCCAAAGTCTGGAAAGAGGAAAACAGCGGAGAAGAAGTCCGCGAAAGGGAAGGATCAAACAGAAGAAAAGTTGCCAGTGGCGAAGGAGCTTACTCCTAACGACGAGGCTAAGAAGCTCTCTCGAATGTGGGAGGAATTAAAAGAGCTTAATGACAAGAAGCTTGACGCCAACTCGTTCACCCTTCCAGCGTCCTGCCTCCTTCGACCTCCTGCTGATGACAGTGCCAAGAGACCACTGGAGGTTCGCGAGCCCGAGGAGAGACAGGTCCGACGGATCGTGGACTCCATGAAGAGGAACCCATATGCAGACACTCTGGCTCACGTCGGCTTGATTGATCCTTCGCAGGCTCGTACGAAGGAAGATGTGGATCTCGGCAAGCTGCTCTCTGAAGGCTACAAAGTTTTCGTGCTCAGTGCTGGACACACAAAGGAGGCCAGAGAATGCCTTAGGAACCTTCACCCGACTGTCTCTGCTTTCCAAAAGGGGAATTGTTTTATTTACGTCGGCCTCACCGTCCAGGAAGCTCGTAAGATCGCGCACGAGCACAACCATATTGCAGGCTTCCACCAGGACTTCAGTTTCATCCATAAACTGAAATGCTGGCGAGCGGTGTTCGAATCGATGGGCTGCCAAAAGAATGCCGCTACGAAAGCTGCATGCTTGCAGGAAATTGGATTTTCAAACCCAGACAAAGATCTTCTGCAGAGGTCAGATCCACATTTCCAAGTCTGCATGCGGTCCAAGGAAGTGTGGACCCTTCAGCTGAAGATATTCGATATGTGGTTGAAAGGGGATTGTCTGGACCAGAAAATGAAGGTCCCTACTGGGAAAAAGGCAAAAATTTCTTGTGGTGATAGCGAGGCGGGTGGCCCAGAGGGAACTCGGCCGGGAGCGAAAAAAAGATTGAAGAAATTCAATTCTGCTGAAGCCCAACGTCAGGTACTGCGTTTCTTCAATCCTAGAGCGCAGGTGGAGCATGGGAAAATTGTAGCTGAGCCAACTGACATGCCACAGGCGCATTGGGTGGAGATGGGTTCTCTCGATGACAAGTCTGTTATTCCCATCCTTGAACAGGTGGCCGCAAAGCAACTCTCGATTGATGGTACGCGGAAAAAGTTTGAGGTGGCGAAGAGGTTCGGTCGAGTGGTTAGGTATTTCTTAACAGAAACAAAGTCAGCAGATTGGGCTAGCTGCAAAGAACTTTACCCACTCCACACAAGCAAGGATGTTTTGGAGCCCTTCGCCAGTAACTAGAAGCAGAAGGCGGATGTACCTCGAGCTTTGCAATAGCACGTTGCTCAAGCGAAGGCGTGAAAGGAGCTGAATGACAAAAGGGAGGCCGAAAGTTGAAGAACAAGGTCTAAACTCGTCGTCTCAGAAAAAGCTGGTACTCACTTCTTGGACTGGATGGATGTGAAATATAAAGAACACTGCGGCAACGTGAAAGTCCTGGAAGGCGATATGATGGACTTGAAGAACTTGACAGAGAAGTTGCCTTTCTCTCTGATTATCTGCGACTTCCCGTACAAGTTTAATCTGCCAATGTCCTCTGGCGATTCTGTTCCTTTTTCTGAGGAGCACATTGTTCAGGTCCTTGAGAACATCAAGGAGGTATGCAGTGGACCGTTGTGGACAATTGTCGGATTCTGCTCTCTGGACATGCTGCCCTCGGTTCGGCGAGCGTTCAAGATGGTTTGCAATGCAGGAGAGGAGGTGGTCACGTGGTGCAAGCCGAATGTCATGAACACAGGAGGGCCTCGTCTTGTGAGCGCGACAGAGTTTTGTGTCATCGGCTACTACAGCCAAAGTGGTTCTCGAGAGGCAGCTCATTACAATTTTGCCAGCATGGACCCCAGGCACAACTACAGGCTGTTCGATGTTGTCATGAAGAAGTATATTCATCCGACTGACCTCGAGGTGCTGTACCCTTACTAGAAGCCCGTCGCCTTGTACGCGTGGTTGATCGAGAAATTCTCTCCTCCTGGCGCTTATATCATCGACGGTTTTTCCGGGTCCGGAACAGGTGCAATCGCCAGCGTTTTCTGCAACAGGAATTGCCTGGTGGTTGACAAGTACCCGCGCTGCATGAAGGGAATCCGCTCTCGCATTCTGAACAATATTGGCCCTACGATTGAAAGAGAAAGCAGGCGCAAGGAGGCCGCAGAGGAGGATAAGACTTACAATTGTGTAGTCGCTGCAGAGGACACAACTGCAGCAACAACGCCGACCACTGCTGCAGCAGTAGCAGCAGCAGCCGAACCAGCAGCAGCAGGACCACCCGCATCAGAAGCACCACCAGCAGGAGCACCAGCACCAGCACCACCAGCAGCAGCACCAACACCAGCAGCAGCAGCAGCAGCAACAGCACCAGCAGCAACACCAGCAGCAGTAGCAGAAACAGCACCACCACCACCAGCAGCAGCAGCACCAGCACCAGCAGCACCAGCAGCAGCAACAAAACCACCCGCAGCAGCAGCAATAGAACCACCCGCAGCGGCAGCAGCAATACCACCAGCAACAGTAGCCGCAGCAGCAGCGGGAGCAGCGAGCGCACAAGGGGCAGCGAGCGAGCCAGCAACAGCTGGACCAGGCACAGAAGCGCTCGCACAGGAGAGGCAGCGGGACCTGCACACAGCCAAGACTCCTCACGTGGGACAACTACGAGGTTAAGGAAACGGAAGATCGTCGGTGACGAGGTTACAAGCCCTCGCGCGAAAAAAGGTGTTCTTGCATTAGGGGCACGCACAAGGGAGGCTGGCGGAGGCAAAAGTTAGCCAAGACAAGTTGCAGTCCACTGTTGCTCTGAATTGCAGTTTGCAGTCCTCAGAAGTTCCTCCCAGTTATAGGGCTATAATCTTGACGACTGTGCCGAGAGCTTCTGTGTTTTTGCTACCCTTGTACTTTTGTGTTGGTGCGTGTCAGCTTGAGCCCTCTTCTTTGTTATAGTCCTATAATGCTCTTTGTGTTGGTGTGGGCCAGCTACGACTGTCTCTTGCGGCCGCTTCTCGGTTGTACTTTTCTGTTGGTGTGGGCCAGCTCAAGCCCTCAAAGGATTGTCCCTTCCCACCATGAGGCACTCGTTTCGCTGTTGCCTTGCTTCCTTCCCACCCTGTTGCCCTCCTCTACTAAAGCACTCGTTTTGTTGTTGCCCTCCTGTACTGGGGCAAACTTTGCAAAGGTTAGTGTAGAACTTTTCACCACGGCAAGTAGAGCAATTTGTTGTAGTTTAGGGCATCGTAGGTGTTAGATTGGTTGGTTACTAGGGCTGGTACAGAGACCAGCGGTGAAGAGAAGTTCCCTCTTGCTGTGGTTGTTTGAACACTGTGCTGCAGCATCCTTCGATTTTATTCGCTGCGTGATCTCCTCTTTTCCCCTGTCTTTGTCTTTCTCTCTTACTTTCTTTCTCTCTCTCTCTCTCTCTTTCTCTCTTTCTCTTCCTCTCGCTCTCTCTCGCTGATTGTTGAGCACGCTTACTCGGCTAGTGCAAAGACCAGCAACGAAGATAAATTTTACTATTGCTGCAATTGTTTTGTAGTGTGCTTCAAGATGCTTCGGCTCTTTTCGCCACGTTTTCTCTCTCTCTCTCTCTCTGTCTCTCTCCCTCTGTGTGTGTGTGTGTAAATGAGAAACCACGACTCCCCTCGCTGGCCTAAATTAAGGAAAATATCAGGAAATTTTATTTTTATTTTTACTTTTGTTTTTTTTAGCACGGAAAAACCGTCGCCCATTCGTCGCATTTTCCAGTTTTGCCACTCCACCACTTGTGGCCCAACGGTTAAACGACTACTGTTAAAGACCCAAGGAATGCCTGCCCGCCCCGCCGCCAAAATCAGGGGTAAAAAAGAAAAGAAAAAAAAGCTCACGAAAACAGTTGTGTAGGGGCCTCAGCTCCACTCTCGACTTGCACAACAAGGCTCTCGGCATGCAGAACAAGGCTCAAGGCCTTACACGTGCTGTTTACCCTGAGAAAAAGAAAAAGGGGTGCATATCCTCCCCCACCCACTCTTGGCCCACTGCTCCCTCTGTAGTGCCTCC